ATGTAAAAATTTTTAGGCCCAAAGTACTGTTGGGCTGAGTGCCAACTTGGAATTTATAGCTCTGCAATGAAATTCAGAAATCTGCATTGGGCCTGTCCATACTTCTCCAGAAAAAAAAAAAAGAACTTGAACTAGCTGATAGTTTTATAACATAGCATTTGTCACGATAAAACAACAAATTGGTTGGAAATAATTTGACCTAGCTTTTGAATATGGTTATGATTTTAAATTCCTTATCGACATGATATGTTTTAGTGGAAAAGGTTTCCCACATGACACGTTAGTACACACAAATTCTTTGTAACAGTACCGGTATTAGTTGCATTGTTGGGTGAACTAAAGTGTACCTGCGTGAATCCTGTTAATAGCCCAAGCTGTACAACATGGATAGCCAAAATTTTTTTATTCTAGTGTATGGGTAGTGCCTTGCTCATTCCAAGTAAAGGTAGCGTAAAGAAACATTTAGATTTAGCATCTTTTTTTATACAAAAGTTTTGTTTTCTTGATTGGTTTTAAGATGAAAGCATTTAGACAATCATCATTTAGTAGCCTGTTTGATTTGCAGGAATAGGAGTCTGAAATCAGAATTGGAATCGGAATGGCATTGGTTGGGAGAGTCATGGCATTCCTGGTGGAATGTCATTCTCCTTTTAAGGGAATGGCCACTCCCTCCCTTTTCCTTGGGAATGAAATCTCATTCTAATTGATTCCAATTCCCATTTTAATTTTTATCTGGACCAAACAGGCTATGACAGTAGACCATTCTAATTTCGATTCCAAGGGATTGTGATTCTGATTCCTATTCAGATTCTGATTATGAACCAAATGGAATCTAAATGTATTAAACTCATATGATACGAATGGAATGTGCCCTTGGGATTAAATAAAGAAAAAAAAAACTCTGACCAAGGCAAGTATAGCATGTGTGCATTAAGTATTAATCATGCATAAGGAGGGGTAGAGCCAAGTATATTGGTTGGAGGTCCTTGGCCCCTCCAAACTTTTTGTTAAAATCATTATTTATATGGTTAATAAAGTGGGTCCTCCCCCCTCCCCCCCTCCAAAAAAAAAAAAAAAGAAAAAAAAAAGAAAACTTGAATTAACATGTAAAGGATTATTCTCTAAGGCTCCTCCAAACCTTCTTCGGCCATTTTTTCCCCAAACCTTATTTCTACTCTCTATCTCATTTTCTTGTTTAACATGACCCGCTAAAAAAAAATTACTGACTCCACCACTAATCATATATATGAGATTTGGATTTAACTTTTATAATCTACATGAAATCCTAGGCAAATATCCATTTTATAATAAACTAGTATAAAACATGTACTATATATAACATTTCAAAGTATTCATTATATATAATACATAAAATTTGGATTAAATTTTTATGTTCAACCCAAGATGTATAAATATAGATAAACTATGTTTAATTTGCAAGTGTCAAAATTGAGACCAACTTATCAAAAACACTTGACCAAATTGACAAACCTCTTGCCTTCGAGCTCTCTTTGAGAGTGAGGTATAAATTGCATCACTACACTAGCACGCGACCCTTAGCTTATCTCATTAGCTTAGCGTGGTATGTGGTAATGTAAGATTCCTTGTCTTAAAGAAACATTTTTTTAATAGGTGCCTTAGAACATAGGGTTTCGTGTATCATTTTAAACTCTATATGGAGAGACTTGGTCTATTAAATGTATTGTCAGAAGAATTGCAAAAGACTTCCAAACACTCAGGCAGCTTCCTTCTATACGGAAGAAGTAGATAACCTCCAACATTTAATCTAATTAAAGACAAACATCCTTTCCCTTGGCACAGGATCCTAGACACATGATACTAATGTGTGCATTAATTTTGTTCATTTTGTTAGATAGTTGATACCCACTATCCAGTTAGCTGATTTTCTTGTACCTGTACTCTCGGATGATTTGGTCCAATGAATATGAATGTTTTAAAAAAAAATTGAAAAAACTAAAAAATTAAGTTTTATTTGTAGTTTAATGAATAATTTTTATTTAAAACAATGGGCTTTCTAAAAAATAGATTTAAAAAAGTGGGACCACATGGATGTAACATCTTTTATATGTATTATGTGTTTAAAGACATAGACGCAGTCACGCAGAGTCCACCGTGACCCTAGGTATATAGTTATTATCATACATACATATATATATATTCACCCTAATCAAATTCTTTTAGATCAAACAGTCCTCCATCTCTTAACAAAAATAGGGTTTACCCGCTTTAAAGTTGCATATAAAAGTAATGAAACGTTAAACAGGATATGGTATTCTAATTTATAAAGAAAAGGATATAATATTCTATTTGACTTTGTGTTAAGATAAGGAGAGACATGTTTCAAGCTTAAAGGCTTCAAATAGACAAGGGAAAGACTAATTTGGTCATTGTCTTTAACGACTTAAGAGTTATGATCTAATGAAGGTGTTTTTAAAAAACAAAATCATAATATATTTGCCATTTTATTTTCTCTGAAAGTTGATACTATTACTACTTTTTATAGCATTAAATTTTCTCTTACTACTAAATGTTAGCAGTTTTAAATCAATAAATAGGACAAATATCACGAGGATCACGTAGGTTAGTTTGCAGTGAATTGGAATCGGAATCCTCAGAATAGTCTATTCCCGTAGTCTATTTTGTTCAAACATAAATGAGAATGGGAATTGGAATCAGTAAGAATGAAATTTCATCCCAAGGGAGGGGGCAGGGAATGACCATTCCCTCAAATTTGATCAAACAGTTGGAATCCGATTCTGATTCCAGACCCCTTAGTTCTATGTTTATGGTGAGAATGAAAAATTGAAAACAAGTTCAAGAAAAATTGAAAAATATCCTTCTCTATCTTAATGATGGAGAGATTGTTTCCATGGGGTTAGATCCTGAGCCTCCATTTACGAGTCCGCGTTCTATGCACCCATGGATGCATTGGACGCATGAACCCACCAATCATGTTCAACTATGTTGATTGAGTGCGGGATGGGTAACGTTAACAGAAGTTTGGCCGTCAACTAATAGAATCATGTTCAATCGGATACAAAAATACAAAAACCTGATTTTCATTTCGAACTCCCCCTCCCTATCAGCTCCTCATTTCGAATTCTAGCACAACAGCTTATCAGCGCCTTCACTCCACACTGGCGCCCCCGTGAACGATGAAGCCACCGATGGCAAGAGACTGGGAAGAGCCCCCATGAATGGTGAGGCTTCGCTGGCACCTTTTGGTTTTCTCCTTCTTTTATTGGTTTCTGATCTTACCCTAGCGGAATCAAGCGACCGAGAAGCGCTTCTAGTTCTGAAATCGGCGGTTGATCCTTCAAACTCGTTTCCATGGGAAGGATACGACTTTTGCAACTAGCAAGGTATTAGAGAATGCTTGAGGGGAAGGGTTACAGAGATGGTTTTCGAGTACTTAAACTTGACGGGAACCCTGGACGGTGCAAACTTAAACTGGCTCGATCAGTTTCGAGTACTGAGCTTCAAAGGGAACTTGATTTCTGGTGAAATCCCTGACCTCTCCGGCCTCACCAATCTCAAGTCGCTCTTCCTGAACGATAATCAGTTCTCCGACTACTTTCCCAGCTCCATCTCTGACCTACAATGTCTAAAGGTCGTAGTCCTCTCAGGGAACAAAATCTCTGGCAACATTTCATCATCCCTTCTCAAGCTCTGACGATTGTACATTCTTTACTTGCAAGACAATTGGCTAACCGGAGAATTCCCACCTTTGAATCAAACCAGTCTCAGATTCTTCAATGTATCAAACAATAAACTCTCCGGCGAGATTCTGATAACCCTTGCTCTAATTCGGTTCAACTTTTCATCGTTCTTAGGTAACCTAAACCTCTGTGGTGATTAGAGAGACATGCCATGTAGTAATGGAACTCAAACTCAAAACCTCCCTCTGATTAGTCCCACTTTTCCTATTAATATACCTTTGGGCTCTTCGAGTCACCGGAGACACGTCATATATACTTAGACTCAAGCCTCCCTGTTTCTAATGGAGGGCTTGCAGAAGAAGGAAATGCAGTCGAAGGGAGGAACAAAGCAATGATTCAACTGGATTCTTTAACTAACAGCTAAATGTCTGTTAGAGTTAGTAAATTTTAAACACGCTGACCTGGGTGTTTGTGATTGGCAGGTGCACTCGTCAAGTGCACCCATGGGTGCAGAGAATGCGGACTCCTCCACTAATGGAACATTGATAAAATAAAATAAAAATTAAGATGATAAAACTGCATTTAATATTCATAAACGAGGGTAGTCTTAACAATTTGGAAATATATTTTGAAATATTATTTATTTTTATGGGTATCTCTTGATAAAATATCTTTCCCTATCTTAATCTTGCTCTTCTATTAACAAACCCCACATAGTTTGGTGGTCAAAGGGGTTTAAACAAATTATGGGGTTTAAGTTTGCATCTATACCCGGATTGGACAGTTTGGAGTTGACCTCGGGCTTGGGCCTAGATTGAACTTAAACCTAACCCAATCCATCTGACTTGCACCATGGTCAGAAGGGGTTAAGAATAGGGAATGGGCTACCCTATATGTAAAAAGACATAAATACCCTTTAAATATCATCTACTTTTCTTTATTAACCTTCCCAATGCCTAAATTGATGGTGGATTTGGGTTTATTCACCATTACTTTGGTTCAGCGTTGATTATTGAAGAATAAGATATACTTTGAATGATAATTTTGATATTTTCAAAAGTTTAACTTTAAACCGCACATCTCATCACATCATTCTGATAATTAAAGATTGTTAATGATAGGAATAAATTGAGACATTTTGAGAATTCAGATATTAGATCGACACATTTCAAAATTTGGATACCAAAGTGAGACTATACAAGTTACTGATTTTATTTGACAATGAGTCGTTCAGTCAATTCAGCCATAATCATCTCGCATTAGCGCAGGCCGATACTGATGCCTCTCTCTCTCTCTCTCTCTCTGCAGTGAGAATGCTTCAAAGTTGAAACAAATCACACAGAAAACAAGTGGCGAAGTGTAAACAATAAACGTGTCCGCTACTCTTTCGTAGCGAAGATGACTAAGCGTTGGACGCATTCACCAAACAGTCAATACTCTCTCTCTCGCTCGCTCTTTCTTCGATACCCACCTTCTCGTTTGCTTCCTATTTATTCCTTCTCGAATCCGTCGGTCTGCACTCTAGAATCCGCCCTTGAAGTTTCAAAATAGATCTCCAGATTTTTATCCTTCAGGTGTGTAGTAGACGGGATATGTGCTACCAATTTCTGCTTAGGGTTTCATTGACCTCATAAACTTTTTCCCCCCGTTATCAGTCCTGTTGAACCATGGTTGTCTGATGCTTGTACGTGCCTTACTGTTTCTGGTTTATTGCAGAGAGAGAGAGAGAGAGGGAGAGAGAGTCGTTGTTTTGAGTGATTTTTTATTCGTTTTTTTAATTGTTTGAAACGAAAATGCCATGGAATTGAATTGTGGAATAGATATCATGGGGACTGGTCTTTTTTATATTAAATGTTAAGTATGTTGTCAAGGAAGCATTTAACTGATATGTGATCAAAGGGAAGTAGTTGCCATTTAGGATTCAGTAGGGTCGGGGATCTTCTGTCTGGAATTGTTCAGAAAGCGAAGAGGAGAAAAAACTTGTGCTTCGTGACGCAAATATTGTATTTTTTTTCTTTCTGGTTTATTTAGGAAGTGAAGAAATAGTTAATATCAAATGTTTTTTAATCATTAACGGTATAGAAATGTTTTGGTTGATTAGTTAGGCAATACGAGTTCTGTGGTTGAGGTTAGTTTGCAGCCAGACGGCTTCAGCCGGCGTTGAGAAATTAATCTGATACTCTGCTTGAATAGGTTTCGGATTTTGGGTTAGGCAGCTTGGTGTCGTTCGAAATATGGTTTTCGTTTTGTATAGTACATGTTGGGTAGACTAATATTGTTTGATTGTGCTTGATTCTGCTAAAATGGGATCTTCTTCTATTTTGTTGAAGGCTATGCTAACAAAGTTTCTTTTTATTTTATTTTTTTTGTCTTTATTGTTGCAGGATATGTAACAAGTTGAAAAATTGCTTTTCATTTTTCAGATTCACAATGACACTCCTTTCTCTCCCCTATGGCCATTTTTGGAGGCTGTGCGCACAAATTTGGTTATGGTTTTTGCTGTTGCTCTTTCCACATAACATAAAAAGCACATTATCAGCTTCCAATTATTTGATTGGGCTTGGAAGCTATGATATAACAGGACCTGCAGCAGATGTCAATATGATGGGGTATGCTAATATGGAGCAGATTGCGTCAGGATTGCACTTCAGATTGAGAGCTCGGGCGTTTATTGTGGCAGAGCCCCAGGGAAAGAGGGTAGTATTTGTAAATCTTGATGCCTGCATGGCTTCCCAGCTTGTGACAGTTAAAGTGCTTGAGAGGTTGAAGGCAAGGTACTTATCATCTAATTACGTTCTATCCCCAGATTCTAGTTCTACATAGTAAGTATAACCTAATTCCTAACTAAATATCTATAGATTGATAAATTATGAGCAGTTGAAACACAAGAAATGGTTTTCAAGGAAATTGTCTGTTCCCTCCTTTCTGGAGACTTTCTAGGCATGCAACTCGGATTGGGGTTAGGATGGGTTGAGGTTGAGGTCAGTCATAGCCTGACCCCAAGTGTTGAGACCCTAACCCAACCCTAAACCAAACTGAGTAACTGACCTTCAATCAAGTGTAGTCTACTTTAACCAAAACCAATCTATAATTCTTCAATTCTAACGCTACACAATGTATCCCCGGATGTAGACATTGATTTGGTTTCAGCCTGGTCAGGCCAGATTTCTTCATTTTTTTTTTTGTTTTGCTTTTAAATAACAGGTTTCTACTATTCAATTTCATCAATTTATTGAAAGTACCTATAATATATGCATATATACATATATTCATTATGTATTATGTTCATATGAGTACATACACTGTAGTCAGGTTAGGTTGGATTGCCTAAGGCCTCAATCCAACCCAACCTAGCTCCAATTTTTACCTTTCTTTTTGTAATGTTGGTTTGGGTCGATTTCAGGCATGCCTATGTTGCATCCCTAGGCTCATTTCAGCTAATTATGTTTTCCATATGTTGGCTTTTTTTTTTTTGTTTTTTTAACCACCAATTAGTCATACTTGCATGCCATTTCTAGTTTTGGAGGGGCTGAAAATATAAAGGTAACTGAAAATGAGATTAACCCCAAGTGCATTTTAAATGAACTTCACCTTAGGCTCAGTTTGGAAGGAATACAAATACAAATATGTAGAGTGCAAAACTATGTATTTTGTATTATTTTGTATGTATTTGTACTCCTTCCAAACTGAGCCTTAGGAACACAAGTATTTTTATTAAATAGCCAATAGTTTTATAAAGCTGCTAAAATTTTCTGTACTCTGAATATCTGTGGTTGTTGCCGGTGTAAAACAATGATCTGGAAATTGGAGCATACATTGAACCAAGAAGTCACATGGTTCATGGTTTGACTAGTTCTACTGTGACATGACATCAAAATAATGCCATAAATAGACTGGTATCATTAAAGATAAGGAAATTGCAAGAAACCTGGAACTGGGTATATGTTTTGACGTATTCACGGTTCAATTGTGGTTTTGACCAAATTCAATGGTTTTTGGATATACTCTAGGCTTTTTTTACCTCCTTTTTTTGAAATTTGTAAAGGTCTTAGTTTTGGTTGAATGTTTTCAACTGTCTGGTCTGGTCCAGTTTGTTTATCAAAAAATTGTGCAAACAGCATATAAAATCAAATTTCCACTCATGGACTTGAGTTTACCCTCCTGGTTCCTGAATAGGATTTGACCTTTGAATTAATTTTTTCTATAGATTGTCAAATTCTGTTCTTCCTATCTAGCTTATCTGTTGTCCTTTATTATGGAAGGTATGGAGATCTATATAATGAACAGAATGTTGCCATTAGTGGTATTCACACTCATGCTGGACCTGGAGGTTATCTTCAATACATTGTATATATTGTGACATCCCTTGGGTTTGTGCGTCAATCATTTGATGTCATTGTTGATGGCATTGAGAAGAGTATCATACAAGCTCATGAGAATCTCCGCCCAGGATCAATATTTGTTAATAAAGGTATGCCATATGCTAGAATCCTGTTTCTTTATTTTCCAAATTATAGCTTGATGAAAAGTCTGCTTCTTTTTCTTTCTTGGAATTATATCAAATTACTGTCTCTAAGGAAATATGATATCTGAATGTCTATTAGCTGGTTGTCATATGATAGAGAGCCCCTTAGAAGAGGCACGACCTAGAAGAAGATAATGAAAAAAGTATATCCATATTCTATTTGTTTTTTTGACCCCCTTTTCCAATGAGTATGTTAAATCTGGAGAATGAACTTGGTGGAAATGTAGAATTAACCCCTGTGGGTTAGGCATTTCCTTCTTTGTTGATTTCACCCTTTCAAGGTTTCTAAGTTTCTATTCCAAATTTCTATGTATAGGAACATCTAAAAATATTTTTGCTTTTCAGTCTGGTAGTTTCAATGATTTTCATGGATAGCGTTCTTTGTATGCTGCTTATGATCTATCATACCTAGATACAACAAGGACATGACTGGACAAAATGTGGGATGTGGAGCTTACACTAAGGCCTCGTTTGTTTGTCAGGAAGTTGTTTACTCAGGTAAATGTAGAGGTGTAATGTGGGCTGTGCTAGGCTGGCATGACCCACTTTTGTTGCTGCCTGCACTATAGCAGTCTGTGCAATACCAGCATGTGGGTTTGAGCGGGCTGTGTTTGCTTGGCCTATAACCCCCTCAAAAGGGAAGCCTAGTAAGGCCTGTAGCACATGCCTTGGGCTGGTGCCAGATTAGGGGTGACATGATTTTTTTAGAAAAATTGAAAAAAATATTAAAATTTATCCGATATAAATTTTGGTGTACACAATTTTTTATATATGAAAAAGTAAAATAAAATTGAAATTAAAAATTTATATACCTAATTACATATGTGTATGTATATATGCATATATTAAATAGATATAAATAATATATTAATATATGTGGACTGGGGCCATGGGCCATGTTGGCATAACATACGGGCCATTTGGCAAGTCTTTTTGGGAAGATCTTCTGGTAGCTTTGACAGTCAAAAGACACAGTGAGCAGCCCCACCCACTTGACAGCTCTAGGTAAATGTATTTACTTGGGCAAGTGTTGTCTAGGTAAATACATTCACCCATGTTCTTTTTCGGGGAAATGTTAGCTAGGTGAGGCAATTTCCAAAAGGAACTTCTGTTGGTTGGCAAGGGCATTTCAGTCCCATATAGTTTTGGCCAATTTTCCTCCTCCATGGGTAAGTGATTTACCCACCTGGGGGAAGGGTAAAACATATCTGGGAAAGTGTCCCAAAAATTTATTGGGGATAAAGTTCACTTTCTGTGGGCCCTACACTTCCTAACAAAAGAACATGGGAAGTTGGTCAGCTTCCTCCCCCAACTTATTGACAAATGAATGGGCCCTAAAATTTGAAGTATTTGACATCTTGCATAGTTTGATATTTCTAAAACCCTGAAATTTCCTTGTATTTCTTTCTTTAGGTTTTTCTCTTTACCCAACATTAAAAATCTAGAACATTGAACTCATGCCTAAAGATTGGTCAACTGATCTTGAAAATCCAAATTATGTGTGATGGTTTCAAGTATGGGCCATTTGGTATTTTGTCATTCACTGTTAACACCATTTGGGGATTCTGACATTATGTATAAGCACAAGGTAGTAATTACGGGCCTGCTCATTTGCTCTGAAGTCTGATATCTGAAAGTGCAATAATTACATTAAGAGGTATATTGGTATTGGTGATATTTTCTTTCCTCTGAACTCTGAATGCAGAGAACGTTGTTCTGAATTCTGAAAATTATCAAATATCTATTTTGACTCCATATATGAGAATTTTTGTTTGTCTTTTTTGGGGGTATCATTGAAAAACAAAAAGTTGTATAATTGCACTTTAAGAGATAAGAGATAAGAGGAAACGAACAACCATTTTTTCTTAAAGTTAAAATATTCCTCTTAAGAGATAAGAGTTAAGACTTAAGAGGAAACAAACGGGCCCTAAGTGTTAAGAAAAGGAATAGCAAGTGTTGCAACCTCCAAATCAGTGTTTTAAAAGGCATGGGAGGCGTATGCCTGGAGGAGTGGCGAGGCGCTCCCAAAATGCCTTGAGGCGTATGCTAGAGGTATTGACACCTCTGAGGCGTACTCCTCTGGTGCAAGAGGCGTACCTCTTGTGCTTTTTTCATGAGGCGTGCTAGAGGCGTATGCTTCATGCGCCTCATGCACATCTTATATAAAAAGATAGAAAAAAAATAAAAAAGAAAAAAAGGAAAGGAAAAGAAATGGAAGGGAAGGGAAAGAAAAAAAGGGGAAGAAAAAAAAAGAGGAAAAGAAAGCAAAGAAAAGGAAAGGGAAGGGAAGGAAAGATAAGGGGAAAGAAAGTGGTGTTAGGGATCTTGTTGAAGTGGAAGCTCGTTCGCCTCCGTTTTGACAAGACCCCCCCCCCCGTTCAACTAATGTTATGCATCTTTATTCTTCTTAATATAAAAGATTTTTATTAAAAATAAAGAAAAAATGAGATCCCCCTTCCTCTTCATCCTCAACCTAATCCCCCTCCTCTTAAGGAGGCTTACGCCTCTTGCGTTCTGAACTACGCGTCACGCCTCTAGGTAGTGGAACGCCTCGTCACGCTTCCGCATTTTAAAACATTGCCCCAAATATAGGGGAGTCCTTGTAATTTACCCAAAATTAAAACTTTGAACAGCTAATATTGGTTGTGAAAACCACTTATGCAAGGTGGGGCACATGGCTGATATGGACTATGGGGTTGAGCATGTATCCAATGCTATGGGACCCCTATTGATAGACAGTGCAGATCACATACAAAGTTTATATTGAAAAGGCATATAATGCACTTTCTTTTTTCCCACTAATTTGCTTATTAATAATAAGAATGTAGAACAGTGCAAGTGTAAGATTTAGCTTGTTTTGATTATTTTAGTGACTTATACAGTTCTGTTATACATATAAAAGAAATTCATGCTCTGCTTGTTCTTTCCTTAGATGTATTATGTTTTATGTGTTTGCCTGTTTGGATGATGTTGTGGTATTGATTGAAATTAACAAAACAGATCTCAAGTGATGGCCCTTCCAAATAGTAGATGGTGGCAATTCATGTGTTAATGAGCACATATCTTCTCAAAACATTTCTGTTATGTTCTTCTATTCTTTAATGATTCATATTGTTCTGATCATGATTTTTGGTTTTCAATTACAGGAGAGCTGTTAGATGCTGGTGCCAATCGTAGTCCTAGTGCATATCTCAATAATCCTGCAGGCGAACGAAGTAAATATAAATATGATGTTGATAAGGAGATGACACTTCTAAAGTTTGTAGATGATGTATGGGGTCCTGTAGGTAGCTTTAACTGGTTTGCAACCCATGGAACTTCTATGAGTCGTACAAATGCATTAATAAGCGGTGACAACAAAGGAGCTGCTGCACGATTCATGGAGGACTGGTATGAACAGAATGTCTTTCCAAAAGGTGTTGAATCCTCTGAAGAGGATGGCATTGCTGGTGTTGAGCTGAATGGTATCCCCCGAAGAGTCTCAAGCATAATTCCCAATCTTCACAAAAACCGTAAGTTGGCAACTCCTTCCTTCAACCTCATTATATGGCATTACTTTAAGGAAAATAACTGGTATGCATTTCTAGTTAATTAATTCCACCATTTATTTTGTGGACTATGCCTTTTTTTAGTATGATAAAAAGATTAAACTTGTTGATGGAGGATTGACTGCTCCAATAATGAATTTAGAAGGGTAACAATAGGGTGGGAAGGATTTTGGGATGACAGTGGGACTGAAAAAGAAGGGTTAAGAGGGTTAGAAAGTTTTGGGTCAAACTGCTTAAAAACGGTAGATTCTCTATAGGGCTGGGGAAAATATAAAATTCAAAAGCGAGTATAGGAGTGGAATGTTTTACTGAAATTTTGCAGGTAAATTTGGAATGGATGGTTGTAGAGGATGACCAAGTTTGGTAGGATTTATAGTATGGTTTGCATAAAAGGATGAAAGTTCTACTTTATGAAGAATACCTGAATATTTTAGAATTTAGGGTTTTAGGTGGATTTTTGGGATGGGATTTGGTAGGATAAATGGGTATGAAGGTCTATGGTGTAAAAGTGATTTATTTTGGGATGACAAATTCCCATTGTGGGAGAGTCTACCAATATTTTGTAAACAAGGGATTTAGATTGTGTTTTAGGATGAAATTTAGTGGGATGAATACAAAAGGAGAAAATTGGTTGAAATGGGAAAGTTTCATGTTTAATGTGAAATAAAGAAAAACTTACTAGGATCAGCTTCAGTCTTTAGGGGATGTTAAATTAATGCCTTAAATGAAGAACTTTTAGGCTGTTGATGGATGTTTGGTTACTTGCAAAATTAGAGAAAGGCAAATAAAAAAAACTCAAGATCATTCAATGGTGAGCACAGAATCATTTAGGGCATGGGAATCACTTGCTACTCTTAGCATAAGCTCTAAGAACTCAAGTAAGCTCAATTCGTTTTGTTTCTGTGTTTTTGCACTTCTCACAGACATATAGGATCAGTTTGGAAAGAGTACAAATACAAATATGTGTAGTGCAAAACCTTGTATTTTGTATTCTAAACCTGTATTTGCACTGTACATATTTGTATTTGTACTTTTTTCCAAACTGAGCCATATAGACACTAGTGGTGGGCAAATCTTATTAGAACTAGGAAAGACTGACATTACAAAATTGCCAGTCATAAGAAAACTCAACAACTCCTGAACTACTTAACTAATGACTATGAAACCTCAAAGACAAACCAATTATAGCTAGACTAATCAAACTCTAGGCAGACCCCACATATAACATTTGGAAATACTAAAATATTGCTACTGTATAAAATACAACATATACATAAAAATCCAGAAATTTCCAATTTTGATTGTCTGATTCATGTGTTCTTGTATTCCTTGATACTGTACTGCATGTGGTCACCATATTTAGTAACACACACACACAACTATGGTCTTATAGTTCTGGAGTAAAGCAGAAAAAAGAGTTATTTATACATCTCAAATATTTCATATGCATCTTCATAGTGTTGTATCTTCCTTCAAAGTTAACAGTCTATAATGATTTATATGTAGGAAGGTATGCTGTTGCTATGCATTTTTGTTTTTGAGAAGGTAAAGTAAATTTATTAAAAAGAGAAATATGATACAACAGAAGTCAGCCCAAGAAAGGCTGAAACAATCGCCATTACAGACACAAGAGCGACTGTTTTCTCAGAACATGAAATACATTCACTTGATTAAAAGCTGGATTGACAGAAATCCAGGAAGCAAGCTTGCCAACTGCACATTGCACAATCTCTTCAGGGCTCTTCTTTTTGTTACAGGACACTCTGTTGTTCCTCTCGGACCAAATAGTCCAAAGAACAACTGCAGTGATCGTCTTCCACACCACTTTTCCTTTTTCCTTCAAACCTCTGATTTTCCAACAGCTGAAAAAATCTTTGACAGTTCTCGGCATGACCCAATTAAGTCCCACGGCCTTGAAAGAAATGAGCCCGTACCTCAGCAGTTACAGGGCAATGCAGACAGAGATGATCAGTAGATTCTGGATGTTCTTCACATAGCCCACAACAGATATCAGAGATCTGAACCCCTCTCCTCACTAGGTTCACTTTGGACAGGCATTTGTTAATGGCCATAGTCCAAACTAGAAAATTAACTTTAGGACTGACAGAGGTCCAAATCTGTTTATTTGGAAAGTTCTCAGCACCTGAACTGCTATTGCTGTGCATATCACTAACATCAAGGAGACAAACTAAGCCTTTTTTTGGCTGTTAGAAAGAATGGCCTTTACAAATTTTGAAGTTTATAAGATTCATTTCCATGCAGATGATGAATTAAAAGCACTTGCTGCCTCATTCCAGTCTTCCCATGGAAGACCAGCCACAAGGTTTCTGAGTGTTGCAAGTCGTGTCAGGGGTTCTCTCAGGAAAGCTGACAGGCCTATGTTCGTCTCTGCATTTTGTCAGTCAAACTGTGGAGATGTTAGTCCAAATGTGCTTGGTGCTTTCTGCATAGACACTGGACTACCTTGTGATTTCAATCACAGTACCTGCGGTGGGAAGAATGAATTGTGCTATGGCCGGGGCCCGGGGTACTCGTTACTCTTTTGCATATTTTCCTGAAGATAAATATTTATCATCTTATAACTGGTGTTATATTTAAACTTACTTCTCCTGTTTATGGTAGTTATCCAGATGAATTTGAAAGCACACGTATCATTGGAGATAGGCAATTCAGAAAAGCTGTGGATCTCTTCAACAAGGCATCTGAGCAGTTGACTGGGAAGGTTGACTACCGACACACCTATTTAGACTTCTCCAAGCTTGAGGTATCAATTCCTAAACAGGGGGGAGGTCAAGAAGTGGTGAAAACATGCCCTGCTGCCATGGGATTTGCCTTTGCTGCAGGAACCACTGATGGACCTGGAGCTTTTGATTTCAAGCAAGGTGATGATCAGGTAACCAGGGGTACTAGAGTGATGCCAACACTTTCTCCTAAATTATGTTCTTGAATAGCAAGCTGCCTGTATCAGGGGTCATTCTGTTGTTTTGATGCTATTTCAGGGTAATCCATTTTGGAGGTTGGTGCGTAACTTACTGAAAACACCAGATAAGGTGCAAGTTGATTGTCAACATCCAAAGCCTGTTTTGCTTGATACTGGTGAAATGAAGGAACCATATGACTGGGCGGTGAGTGACAAGCTACATTTCTTTTCCCTTGTAAAAATAGGAATTTGCATTGAAAATCATTTTTCTTTATTTGGGGGGGGGGGGGTTCCCACAACAATAGGTTTGAAAACAATTGAACTATACTATCATTGATCAGTGTTAGATCTAGACCTTTGATGGCCTTTTTAGCAATCTGCATTAGCATGTTCATAAAACATGCAGGAAAAATATGGGGACTGATTTGCATAATTCTCAATTTTGAGAAAATTGGCACAGTCCTAGTGAAAAGACAAAGTGACAACTGCTTGTAAGCATAAAAGTCAATGCATGGAGGCCTTTTTATGTATAAAGTATATACCTTTTAATTAATGCCATGTGGCCCCTTTGCAAAAGAAGGGATGTGCCTAAGTGACTTCCAAAAAGTATTTAGAAGTGCATTGGGGAATTATTTTATGTTCCCTATATCACAGTAATGCATACATGGCCAGATAACTGAAAATATACACTGCTTATTGTCATAAGGAAATTATATTCCATCATCAGATGGTTATGTATGCATTATGTCATTATGGCCAGGATATAATGTGAAATGTAACATTATTACCATGAAAGGTATGATCCTATAAAATGCAATACACAATAGGACCTTTGACTTGATTTGGACTTTGTTTCCATCCTATTTTCCATCTCATTTGAGCAAAAATTGTTTCTGAATGAAAAGGAAAAGAAAATGAAAAAAATAAATTACCAAGCTTACAACTTCTGCTTATTAAACTCCATATCCATAAGTTTATCTCCCTTTGAAGGCCAACAATTGGGTTGCCCTGTAAATGATCTTTGATGTTTCACCTTTTCACACGAGGGATTTGGCACATGCAATTCAATTTCCTCAATTATCTGAAGTATCCTAAAATAAAGGGTTTCAGTATCTACTTGGTTCCCTTAGTTGCATAATTTTAGTGGATTGTCTATGTTATTTTGGAAAAAAACATCTTAAAAAAAGGTAAGTTAGGAAATTTAACAGGAAAATGAGAACTGCAGCTAAATGAAAACTTTGCATTGTAAGCATACTGAAGTTGTAATTTCTATATAAGTTCAATTTTGTCTTGGTCACCATTTTACTGTAACCTAAGAAAACCCTGAGCATGCTAAACACCTCAAACTTCTGTTTTGTTTGGATTTATTAATGGAATCAAAAGACGTCCAAATTACAATAAAAAAATAGAAGTGCACAGCTCTACTTTGTGTACATATTTTTATAAACGTGCCTAGGATATTTCAACTACTTAGGGGGTAACTTTGCTGATGTGGCAGTTGGATTTGTTTTAAAAAACAAAACCAACCATGTTGTGGAACACCCCCTTAATTACTGAAATAGCTAGTCATTGGTTAATTGTGGATTAATTTGTGCTTGGAATCAATTTAGCATATAAAATGTGACAAGTCTTAAAAGATACATTTGTAATTGGTATTTTTGGTATGCCAACGTTGCATAACTCTGTTATAATTTTTTTCATTTTATTTGGTAACTTTATGAAATTCAAAAAATCTTATTAATTCAGTACACATTCTGAGGTTCATCATTATTTTTTAATGATTTTACAAGATTATCAATAAAATTCCTTAGTGATCAGATCTTGGACCGGAATGGAACCAAGTTGTTGGAGCACCAAATTTGAAAACTTCTATGCTCTGGAGCAAATTTTGATGATTGGTTCATTTATTGAAGAAGTATAAATAATCCAGTGGTCTTTTACCTGGTTGGAGGCCAAAGCAATCCCACATGTCCATCTCATGACCTTCAGTCTGATAAAAACTCTTATGACCCTCAGCTCCAGTCTTTGCTCCATGTCATAAATTAAGTAATTGTGGCAATTTTTAAATTAAAAAACTGAAATTCTGAATGATCAATATATCTCAGGGCAATTTTGAATACAAGTGAGAACTTATAAAAAATGTAAATAGAAGGTGAGATATAGGGATCATAGTTGATTGGAAGATTGGGGAAAATGGTCAATCAAGATGGAGTAAGTGATGGAGGGACCTTTGTGTGTTCTATTATATCCATCTGGATCAAGGTTTACAATTTTGATTGGAGGAAAATTTCAATGATTCAAAAGTGGGAAATTTGATGGAGGTTTCAGAGCGGCATTTGAAGTTCCAACTGGATGGAAGCATTACGAAAGTGAAGTTTTGCAAATATACTTATATACATGGTTAATATCAAAAAATTAAAAAGAAAAGAAAAATAAATAAGGAGTATAACAAGATTAAGGATGAAAAGTACCCACCATGGCCATGCAGGATAGATTTTTTTTTTGAGAAGAAGTAAAATATTGATTCATTAAAAAAGAAACAGGAAACCCATGTACAACCAGAGGCTATACAATGGGGAATACAAAATAAACATTAGACCACTATTCCATTTGTCATTGCAAAAGGTTTTCAAAAAGAAAGAGAGAACTAAGGGAAACACTGTTTCTTAATAGATGTGCAGATGACCAGGATAGCAGTTTCCCAACTATTTTTTTTGTCACAGTTCCTCTTCTTGACAGCCTTTACTTCGAAAGAGCCTTGAGTTTCTTTCCTGCCAGATTGACCAGAAGACTGCTCCTGGGACCATTTGCCATAGCATTTTCCCTCTCTTACTCAGACCATGTGTCCACCAACCTCTTACAAAAGCTTCCACTGATGCAGCAGGCAGCATCTTTTAATGGCAAAAATTCTAAATATTTTCACCTATATGTTGTATGTAAAACTGCAATGCAACAACAGGTGGTCAGCTGACTCTTCTATTCCGTTACATAACACACAAACAGGAGAGTCAATCACCATTCCCCTCCTAATCAGGTTGTCTTTTGTAGGAATCTTGTTAAGATAAGCAGACCAAACAAAGAAAGCTACCTTTGAAGGGATAAACTTACTCCAGAATCCAGATTACATGCCAAGGGACATCCTGCTCATCCTTTTGAGTCAGTTTATAATAAAACAATTGTACTGTAAACTGACCCTTTCGATCTGCTGTCCACATCCTTCTGTCCTCTGAATTAAAATCTATTTGCATGCTTGTACAGTTTCTGAAGTAGTTGCCCAAGAGGTTCAATTTCACAATCATTTAGAGCTCTTCTAAACTGTGGTAGATTGACTTGCAAAAACATGCAAATTTTATTTTGGTCAAGCTATTTCTCATTTCTATCAACATTTGGTAGGCTTACAATACAAATTCTCAGTTTTTAACTCTCTTTTTTGTGATATCTTCCCAAATATCAATTTATGGATTATCTTTGTAAATTAATGTCAGTATTTATCACCTCATTATATATTAGGACACCCTAAAATTTTGAAGGAAATATAGGTATATAGTACTAATTTTGTGTAAATCCTGATATATGGTACTTTTGATGTTTGAATAAACTTATGGATTATGCATTTGAAGGATCATATAAAGCATTTCCATTGTTTTCCTTTGAGAACATAATTGGTTGCAATGCAACTGTTTACCCTTTTTCTTTCCAACCCCATTTGTGGTTTTGCTTACTATCGAGTATCTGGTCTTACTTCTACAGCCTTCAATACTTCCAATTCAGATTTTGAGGATAGGGCAACTAGTTATTCTCAGTGTACCTGGAGGTAGTACCCACCCTTGGCACCGGTTATCTGGGATTTCTATCTTTGAGCATGTAGAACATCTAATTGCTTTGTTTCTTCACAGAATTCACAACAATGTCTGGAAGGCGCCTTCGAGATGCTGTGAAGGAAGTACTCATCAGTGGAGGTATTAGAGGAAATATTCATGTTGTCATTGCAGGGCTTACAAACACTTATTCCCAGTATGTGACTACCTTTGAGGAATACCAGGTGCAAAGATATGAGGTCAGTATGCCCAATCAAAATAACTGAAAACCATTGATTCCATTTTGTGTAATGCAACATATGGTGACTAGTGTAGTTTCCATATATTTTCTGCTTCATCCACCTTTTGGTTTTTTGTTAAAAGTTCTGCTTCATCCATCTGAGCCTTAACTGATAAGATAAAGTTTGCCCCTTGGGTAGGGATTATCTCAGAAATTGGTCCACATTATGCAAAAATCTATTCCCCTTAGGGAGTAACCTAAATTTTAATATTCTCTCTGAACTTGAGCTTTTGTTGGGTGGCGGGAACCCACATTGGTGCAATATAAAAAGACCATCACCCAATGTTGGTCACAGTTATCTGGAATCATAGGAGGGGTGGACTGGAAATGGACCTAATGTTTGGCAATATCTGAAACAAATATTGAAATTTCCTTGCTTTTGCACCTTTCCTGGCATCCATTTTGTATCAAATTGTTACTCAATCCCATTCCATCAAGCTTTACCTCTAACCAAACAATCAAACAAACTTGATTTACATAGGCAGCTAAGTACTTTTATTCTTATCTGTCCACTACGGGTACCTTCATACCTGTGTGATAAATGTTAAAATATTTTACTGGAAACTAAATTGATTGTTCTCTTCGACCCTTCATTGACAAATCATTCACTTAAATTTCTTACAGATTAAAATAATTTGTTTTCAAGTATCCAGTGCAGTCCTCTCAAGACCCTATATATCTGGAATCAACATGGGGTGATGGCCTTTATTAAATCTGTCTTCATATTATCTCATTCTTTGGTATCCTTAGTCTTATTCGAAACTGAAACTGATAGATCTCAAAATGCAATTCCCATAATTTATTTAACCAAGTTATCTTGCACGACAGTTTTTCATGGATGGAGCATGTCTCATAAAAAAAATGATCCTAACATGTATGATGACGAAAGCATCAATCTTTTGAAGTGTACCACATCAACCGGTTTAAATTCCATTCAATTTCTTTCATGGAACTTTTTGGTCCTAGATTTTTCATAACATCAAGGCACCCCACACAAGGGCAATTGCTTGGTGAAATGATGACATCTCAGACTTACAAACATGAGGATGCAAGTTTTAGTTTAAGAACATTGTGTGACAAATGCTAAAGGTTTGATCTGTATTCATTCCACCTCCCAAGATCCCTGATAACCAAGTGTGGGATCAAGATTTAGTAATGATCCATTATTTAAAGTGGATCCTTTCCTGCACCTATACGGCCCTACATCATCTAGGCATAATTTTCTAATTAGAATGTTAATGCTGAAATTCAACTTTCTGTAAGTGTTGCATGGACATGTACACAAGCTGGAATTTGACGTATATCCAATAGTCTATGGAAAACTATGGACTTGGGGATACGTCCATCCAAAAGTATGTACTGCTAAAATAATTAATGTTTTTGAATTCTAACATTATATACCTACAAAAAATGTTGCCTTGATAGCTGATGTTTGATACAAAACAGAAGGATTCATCTTGTAGATTAGCTGTTCATTAATGTCAAACAAGCTAGAGATAAGAAGGAAATGTCATGTAGAAGTGCTCTCAAGAATTTGTGTAGTGTCAGACTTGGACATATGTCCAACATGACACACTGGCCCTTTAGGAGAGTCCATGCAACAGTGTTTGCTATAATCTTTATATGTATCTCTGCTCAACTTGTTATGATTTTCCCCAGGATTTCACATCTAACAATCCTGATGGGACAGCCTATTATAGTCCTCTGCTTATGGGTGTGAAATATTACTTCATCCAGAATCGAGTCTCATTTATAAATCATAAATGGACTGTTTCATGAGTTATTGTGTTTGGACTAAAGACACTTCTTTAATCTTTATACATGTATGGAAATTCGTGGCATGCGGGAAGAAATATCAGTCAAACTAAAACAGGGGTTCCAGAAAAATTTATAATCAATCAACCGGTATCATATCATGCCTTTCCGGCAGCATAGATTTTCCTCTAAAACAGAAACTAGTTTTCAGTTATTTATAATGAAATTCCCTGAGATTCTCCAATTTTCTTTCATTGGTATTATAATTCAGGGTGCCTCTACACTGTATGGACCACACACACTAAGTGCCTACATTCAAGAGTTCAAAAAGCTTGCAGAGGCTCTTGTTGGCGGCCAAGATGTTAAACCAGGTCCACAGCCCCCAGATCTTTTGGACAAGCAAATTAGCCTACTAACGCCAGTGGTCATGGACGCAACACCTCCTGGAGTTAATTTTGGGGATGTAAGAGCTGATGTCTCTATCAACTCTACGTTCAGGAAGGGAGACATGGTGACAGTAACTTTCTGGTCTGCTTGCCCAAGGAACGACCTCATGACTGAAGGCACATTTGCACTGGTGGAGATTCTGAAGGACAAGGATACATGGGTACCGGTTTATGATGACGATGATTTCTGCTTACGCTTCAAGTGGTCGAGGCCAGCAAAACTCAGCACACGCAGCCTAGCTACCATAGAATGGAGAATCCCAGAGATGGCCATTTCAGGTGTGTACAGGATAAGTCATTTTGGTGCCTCAAAGAGCCTTTTTGGGTCGATCAACCATTTCACAGGTTCGTCCCGTGCATTTGTGGTGTTATAGGGAGGCTTCTTTGTTTATGTATTGGTTACTAAGTTACAATATTTATAATTTGCCTTACTGTAACATGTTAGCTGTTCATGGTTTCCACGTTAATGAAGTCACCCAGCTTACAAAAGCTCTAAACCTTTTTTTGTTTTTATTAAGAGGAATGATAGCAATACTACAAATTTTTCTCCTTGTAGTATCTAACGGTGAGCATGGGTCAATTCAGTTCTGCTCAAGGCATAACCCGGAACCTACCCTGTAGGAATCCGTCCCAAGATTTTAGAATCAAAACCTACCCTGTGAAGTTTCAAAGCCGATTTTAGCCTTGGTGGTTATGGGGTTGGTTCCAAGCTCTACTCGTGAAACCTTTTATTTTTTTATCGTTACTCCTTTCTCTCTCTAAAATAATGAAACGTATTCCTTAAAAACTTGATTTTCAATAATTATTTTGTAAATATTATCTTTTACATTATTTATATCATTCAAATATTAAAACAAAAAATTGACTAGATAATTTAAGTGACTCTATAGTCAAGTGAGACTATGGTCTTTTCAACCATGAGTTCTTGTTTCAAATCTTCACATCCTTAGAAGTACTTTGGAATTTGTTTCAAGGCAAATTTGGTTCCAAGGTGGTTCTACCAAGTGGGTTGGTTCAGATAGGGTAAACCCCTAGACCTTAGAATTACTTTGGGTGGGGGCTGGTTCCAAGAATTTGGAACCAGACCCTACCTTGTAACAGATTGGGTAGGTCGGTTCAAGGCTGGTTCCATTTGGTTTCAGGAAGAATTTACCTATTTACTCACCCCTAATATGTATAGGATTTTGGGTATTGCCGATATGCTAAAAAGTATGCACTAAGCAGTCTGAGCATATCACTTGCAAACAAAGCTCAAAGTATCGAAAATGCCAAGTGCATTGGAAATGCAACTTTAAGAGACATATTAGGATACGCCTGGGATACACATGGATATGGGTGAAAAATTAAGATATGCATAAAAATGCATGGAAATGCATTAAATACCCTAATAAATCATAAATATGCATCAATAACATTAAATATAAGGTCTAAATGAGCTATACATACAAAAATCATGTCCTTTAATGATTTTTATGAAAAATGCCATAATCAACATATGGAAACATAATGGTATTCTCTAATAAGGTTATAACTACAAAATATAAGGTTAATAATTATTTAATGAAACATTTTCTATAATTGTTTAAACAAGTATTTATTTCTTATTCAAACAATTATTTTATTTTTTATTACAAAATTTATAACAAAAATTAAAAGATAAAATATAACATAAAAATAATTTTATCGATGTGGCAGATCATCTATAGATTTACAAAATGGTAAATATTATGGTTAGATCACACCAAAAATTAGAAAAAAATAAACAAAATAAATATTTTACAATAAATTTTAATAGATATATGAATTAAAAATTAGAAAAAAAATATTTTAAAATTATAAAAGTTTAAAAAATAAATATTTTTAGTTTTACAAAAAATAAATATTTTTTTCATATTAAAATTGAAAAAATAAATATTTTTATTCAAAAAATTATAAAAAAATAAAAAAAATAAATATTTTAGAAATTTTAATAGATCTATGGATAATGGTAGATCACTCATAGATCTATGACACAATTAATCTTCATGGTCAAATTACACCAAAAATATGAAATAGCATTTTTTTATTTTTTCTAAACTCTTAAAAAATTAAATACATCTATTTACAACAGAAAAATATAGGATTTTCAACATAAGGGTAATATATGTATATAAAAGCATTTCCAGGCATTAAAAAACACAAAATAGTGTAACATACTATCGAATAAATTGAAAAAAGTATTTATTTTTCCAATTTTTGTAAAAAGTTGAAAAAAACTCAAAAATCTTGAGTTTTGGAGGTTGTTTTTGGGTTTTCTTTAAAGATTTTACGATCCAAAAATGTTTTGGGATGATTTGGTGAGTTTGGGAGAGAAAGACGGCTTTTGGAGAGAGTTAAAAGCCTTTTTTTCTAAAAAAAATTAATTTGTTATTTGCATACAGAAAATTGTATTGTATTGACCGATACACCCTGATACAGTTAAGATATGATTCCGATACACCCCAATATAGGTCCGATACACCCAATATGGTTACGATACGGGGTCAGCACGACAAAAAAAACACGATACAAATGATTTTGTAGTGTTTTCTGTACTGACCCCTTAAAGATACAATACATATTGGCTAATACGGGCCAATACGTTGCAAAATTTTAAACCTTGCTTGGCTGATACATATCAGTCTATGGCTGCTATTAATATCACATGGGCCATAATCTGGATTTAAAAGAGGCGGAATTTCTTTTCCCTCCAGATCAGCAATTTAGTGGCTCAATCCTTTACATCAAAGGGTCAATCCATGATGTCATTATAAAATATACAAAACCAATTAACCCGTTGAATGGGCCGATGATTCAACCTTTTTGGGTCAAAGGGTGGTTGACTGAATCGACAATTTATTTACTTATTTTGTAATATAGTGGGTCAGGGATTGATTTAAACTGAGAATGTGATTGGTTCTGATACATTTTGCATTACTTGGGTCTTGGTCTTTGTTCTCAAATTTTGGCAAAAGCTCAACCCGAACATGGTCCATGAATAGGTCTAATCATCAATCAACAGGATGGGTGTTGTTGTTTTTATGATATTTTGGTGATACGCCTGAATCCCCATCTAGGGGCTATTTAAATAGAGCAGCACCACACAAATAACCCCTCTCCAAAATCGATAATTGTGGTAATATACCAACTGAGCCACCCCTCAATTGGATTGAATGTGTTATGGACGTAGTAGCATTTTTAGCAGTCTTTTTGGGTAATCAAAATGATTCATTCAACACAACAACAAAAGCAAATACAGCAATCAAGCAAGAGAATCAAGAAGAGACCCTTAAGGCTCAGTTTGGAAGCAGTACAAGTGCAAATATGTACAACGTAAATACATATAAAATAATACAAAATATAAGGTTTTGCACTCTATATATTTGCATTTGTACTCCTTCCAAACTCAGCTAAGGTATTTTTGACCAAGGAAGGAAAGCAAAAAAAGAACTGTGTAGATCTCCAATAAAATGAATATGAGATACATGGAATAAAAAAGTATGGTATAGACCAGTCCACACCACACCTGAAGAATGCCATCATGGGTGTGGACTAATCCACACCACACAATCTATCCATAGTTCAGAACAGCTATCGAATGTGGTGTGGTGTAGACCACAAATTTCTCATCTAAATTACAGAACACCCCTGGAATTTTAATAATTTCCGAACCCGTGCCTGTCCAAGTTGAACTCCTAACTAGCGGTGGCAATTGGGTGGGTTGGGTTGGGTTTGGTTTGGGTTGAACGTTAACCCAATCCATCTAACCCGTTAACCCATTAATGACACAATTATATAAAATTAAATGGGTTGGGTTCAACCCAAACCCGTTTTTATCCAATCCAACCTGCCCAAACCCATTAAACTTATATTTATGTACTTAAAACAAAAAACTTATTCCCACTTGAAGGTTCAAATCACGTTACGTGCATGTTATTTTTACATAAGCGGCGAAGCCATTTGACTATGTTCGAGTTTCATGTTTGACCGAACCACTTAGGTTCAAACCAGTCAGACCAACTTGAACTATCTAATTGGATCGTCTTCAAGCTAATCACATCAAGAGTGGTTGAATCATTTGGATTCAGATCAGTCCTGTTGGACTAGACCGGACCAATTTAGTCAATGGTGGATTGACTTGGACTAGGCCATATCAGGTTTGGATTCGGGTCAATGGAAGTAAGTTGGACTGGTCTGGATTCGGGTTGGGTTGAATAGATAGAAGTCTGGCAGGACGATCCAATTTGGGTTAAGGCAAGCAGGGTGGCTTTCGGGTCGGGTCGGACCAGGTCTGGATTGAACCATCCTATCTTATCCCGTTTTGGATTTGGGTCGACCCGGATCATCCTACCTTGGGTTGGCTTGGGTTTAGACTGGGCTGATTGACCCAAATGAACCAAATCGAGGTGATCGGGTTTGTTCATATTTAGACCAAGTTGAGCTGGTCCAGACTCGGGTCAAGTTGATTTGGATTTATGCCGATTTGGGTGAAGTGTGTTGATTCGAGACAAAACTAATTGTAGTAATTAATTAATAGAAAATTAATGCATTGATTATAAATTATTTCATTCAAATGAAGAAAATTAAAAACAAGGCTAAGGAATTAATACTTATATCCTTAGTGGTCAACCCAATGGTTATCCACAACCCACGGGGACCTGAATCCCTGGAACTTTTTTAGATAATAGCATTTTTTTGAAAAATAAATTATTTAAAATAAATAAAAAATTTTAATTATAAATAATGTTTTAAATATGTTTTGATATATAAATAATATATATATATATATATATAAAATCGGGGTCGGGGCGGGAACCTCAATCCCCATCCCCGACCTCATTGGGTCGGGGAAGTCGGGTCCCCGTCGAGGATGGGGAAAGTTGCAATCCCTACCATACTCCTAATTAGAGAATTACTGTCTTTGTTTAGAAAAACAGGATTTTGAAACTAACTTAAAAGCTAAAACTGAAATATACTTTAACAAAACGATCATATTCATATCCACTGCATTTTTGGTCAACAAAATATTGAGAGCAATTATTCTTTCACTCATTCAGTTATTTTGCCTGTCCTTTTTATCAAAAGGATATTAGAGAAATTAGGTCATGTTTGATTTGCGGGAATAAGGGTTTGAAATCGGAATTAAAATGGTTTATTCTGATTCCAACTGTTTGATTGAGCGGAATCAGAATTTCATTACCATTCCTGGTGGAATAGTAGTCTCCCATTTGAGGGAGTGGCTATTCCCTCCCCCCTGCTTTGGGAATAAAATCCCAATCCAGCTAATTCCAATTTTCATTGTGATTCTTGTCCGAACCAAACAAATTATGGAAATAGACCTTTCCAATTTCGATTTTGGCTAAAAACCAACGGACCCTTTTATTCTTTTTACCCCACACAATGGTAAGACGTCATGGCCAAGAATGTTTCCAACAACCCTGGCAGTTGGCCTCCAGTCTGGTTGGAAACATTGTGTGGGTT